CGTGGCAGAACAGTCTTGTATCTAAGTTGACTTCTGCGGCAAGTCGCGCAGCCATGCTATCCTGGAGCCACCCGCTGGTCACGAGGCACGTGGAGTGCAGGCAACGGGAGCTGTTGTACGCGAGCGTGCCGTTCAAAAACTTACCAACTTTCCGGAACAAGCTGATGTCGGAAGTGTTGGTGCGATTTCGGCACCAGGGTTTACCATGCGGTCCTCTTGATTCGCCAGTCTCTAATGGCGAAGGGAGCATAGTCGGGCGTGAATGCGTGTTTGGCCACATCTTGAACCGTGAGACGGTAAGCGTTAAAGTTGCAACGCTTGTCTGGTCCACATCACCGGAACGTTGGCTCGTTAAGTTCCGTGGGGCCAGGCGGTTCCAAAGTGCAACATTGTTTCTTGTTGTGTATGCCCCTTGGGGTGTGGAAGTGTTTAAACGCTGCGCGGAGATGCCAGATGACGGTGCCCAGAGCAACGACATTACCATTGTTGGCAGTGTCAGCGAGATTAGTCCTATGAAGTCTTTCGAGATGCACATTCGACCAAAATTGATTGCGGTGGCTCCACATGTTGCTACGATCAAATGGGGCGACTCGATAATTCAAGAGGCATTGCGGAGGCTTTCTGGGCAGCAGCTCGAGACAGAACAATCGCGTCCAGCCCCTCTAGATCCATACCTAGACCCTATCCTTGAGCATCCTCTCTGCTCATCCTTTCCCCCTTCCTCCCTTATTGTCCTCCTCTACTTCCTCCTCCGCCGCCCCTCCGACTGTCGCAATGGGGGCGCTTCGCACCGAGACGATCGCACGGGTGGGGGGATCAAAGGCGACAGGAACGGTACGGCTCTGGCCCCCACCCTCCGCCTGTCCTTGCCCCTCCCTGCCCCCTTGAGAAAGTCTTGCTGTGTCCATATTATGTTTTATGCGTCCCGTTGAAGCTTTTTTGAATCCAGAATGGCTTTCTTGGTGTCACAGAAATGGTCCCCGGCCAACTCCAACTCGGAAGCCTATAATATCATCAAACACCGAACATTACACACCGTCTATGCGCAGTTGAGCAGTAGAGACACAAGCTCTACAGCAAACACCACACATTATCTACGCTCAATTGGACCCTGGAGGCACAACTCCCTCGCTCTTGCAAACAAATATATGAGAACCTTGGAGACACTAGCTCTTCACGCACGTAAGTAATACACGCGCAGATCAAGACGCACTTCGACCTTGGAGGCGAATGCACTTCACGCAGCATAGCCTTAGAGACAAGCGCTACACGCACTCAAACCTGAGAGGCACAAACAACCCGCGCACTTGAATGTTAGAGGCTCGAGCATCATACGCACATGACCCGATGACCCCTATGGTGAAACCAATATGGGCCCCCCTCCCTGCTCGAGCTGCTCCTTTCTAACTCCTTGATTCCTCCCTCCCTCCCTCCTTCACTTCTCCCCCATCACTCCTCTCCCTCTTCCTCCTGACATTCCTCCTCATCCTCCTATTCCTCCTTCGTCTTCCTCGTCATTCTGGCTCATTGGGCCCACAGGGCTCACAGGACTCATGTCGGAACCACAGGGCTCACAGGGCAGACCAAACCCAAGGGGCTTATGTGGCGCCTGGGGCCCATCGGGCTCAGAGGCTCTGTATGGGGTATGACCTCACATGGCCCGTACGGCTGCCAGGGCCAATATGGCTCACAGGTCTTGTCGGGACCATCGGGCTCATTGAACTGATAGAGCCCCTAGGGCTCATGGGCCTAGAGGGCACATCGGGGTCACAGGGCCCCTCACGCTCAGAGGACTCATAGGGCCCAGAGGGCTTACAGGACTCTTTAGGGGTCTTGGCCTGATACGGCCGACAGGGCTCGTAGATCCCACAGGGCCCGTAGGGCTCATATGGCCAATGGGGATCATAGGTCACAGGGCCGAAAACCCATATGGCTCATGAAGTTGGTGATGCTGAAGATGTTGATGGTAGTGGTGGCGTTACGTATGCGTCTCGATTTGTCTTTGTCGTACATATTTATCCCTCTCCCTCTTTCTCTCTTTCTCGCATTCGCTCACTCCCTCGGCCCTCATCCTGTTTGAATTCGATTCCAGTTAAATGCCTACAGGATTCACATATGATTCCAATCGGTTCCCTATCGGACTTCAGTTCATACCTAATAGGGTTTTCAGCAGGGTTCTGATATGCGCCGAACAATATTCCAATAGGATTCCAATCTGACTCCAAGGGGATACCATGTGTTTTCCGCTTGGTTTCCAACAAGGTCCAAGGAAGATCTCAACAGGCTGTCAATCGGATCCCAAGCGGATCCCCACAGGACCCGAACAGGCTTGCATTAGGATCCCGGTAGGATTCAGTTAAGAACCAAGTGGGACGCCGATGTGGTTTCAGCTGGCCTTCCGTGGGTGCACTCTCGCCTCCGCGCCTGCCGCAGTCCTGCCTCTTCCACAATTACCCAGTAGGAATACTACTCTTCTCTCTCTCTCTCTCTCTCTCTCTCCCCCTGCTACAAAGCTTACATATGTTGTTTTATGTCGCGTGGAGGGCATACTCCGAATTCCATAGTAAAAAGGGGGCTGGTCTGATTCTTTTGGGGGGGTCTGCCTGATGCTGCCTTGGAGGGTTCCAGCGGAGTCTGGGCAAAAGGCAGCCCTTCCATGGCTGGTCTGGGTGTGTGTGTGTGTGTGGAATGGCTGCTCTGGGAGGGTTGTGACACCCCCCACTTTATCATGACATCTGAAGTTAGCGATCATGTGGGGCTCGTGCGAAGACCGAAAGTACGCACATGATGACGCAGCAAGCAATGACTGCGGTCACAAAAGGTGAACTTGAGATTCGCAGACGCATCCACCATCATGACTCTTCATACACAGGGCCAAGCTGCATCTCAAAGGCATGGCGCCGCTCATCTTTCAATCGGTCACGCAACGCAGTAGAAAAGACGCAGAAAGCCCCATCGCGACGCAGAAGGGCCACCTGCTCCCGGGTACACAGCAAGCCCCACTGGCACATACAGTAACCGCTCCCCTGTCACCCTCCGCTCTCCCTGGCAGCGAGCCCCTCTCCTGAGGGGCAGCCCGCGCGGGGCCTTCCAGGAAGGGCCTCGCCGCCGCGGGAGCGGGCATCTGGCACCTCCTCCTCCTCCTCCTCCTCCTCCTCCTCCTCCACCTCGTCCTCCTCCTCCTCCTCCTCCCCCTCCTCCTCCTCCTCCCTCCTCCTCCTCCTCCTCCTCCTCCTCCTCCTCCTCCTCACCTCTTCCCCCCGGCGGACAGGGATGCGAAGGCCGGCGGAGGCAACAAAGGCGGCGGGCCCGCCTCGGCGGAAGGTCGGCGGAAGGAGGCGGAAGTAAAAGTGAGCCGCCGACAGATTTTTGGGGCCACGGCCTCCGGAATCAGCCACGCATCGGGGGCAGGGACACTACCAAGAGATCATGTTCGCAGCCGCTGCCGGGTACAAGATATGGTGCCCAGTCTTCGAGGCAGTCCGCGAGCACGTTCGACAAAGATGTGCAGTGTGCTTCGAGCGAAAGCCAGCATACCTTAGTGCTTGCACGTGCGGTTGCCAACGTAGCCACGTCGGCGGAAGGTCGGCGGAAGGCGGCGGAAGGCAACAGTGAGGCGCCAACGCATTTTTGGGGCGCAGGGTCTCCACGCTCGCCCACGTACCCAGCGATCGCCCACGATCCGATGCCATGCGAAGGCGATCCGCCGGCCTGGGCCGCGATATGTCGAGCCGATCCGGTGTCGCACACCGAGCTGGCTCGGGCCTGCGCTGCAGGCCGCTTTTTTTGAGGTGGCCCAGAGATACCCCGAGGTCAGCGGGCCTGCCCGCCCCCGCCCCCCCCCCCCCCTCCGGTTCACCCTGACCTCGTCGGTTGCGCTGGCCCGAAGGGTGTGCGCAGGAGGAGGAGGAGGATGAGGAGGAGGAGGAGGAGGCAGGAGGAGGAGGAGTAGGAGGACGGAGGAGGAGGAGCGGAGGAGAAGCAGGAGGAGGAGGAGGAGGAGGAGGGGAAGGAGCGAGGAGGAGGGAGCGAGGAGAGGAGAGGAGGAGGGGAAGGAGGAGGAGGAGGAGGAAAAGCGGAGCAGGCGGAAGGAGCAGGAGGAAAGGAGGAGCAGGAGGAGGAGGAGGAGGACGAGGAGGAGGAGGAGGACACGTGCGCGCTGGGCACCGCGTCGCCGCTTTGCCCTTGGCGTTCTCGGTCGCCAACTACCACCACCCCCCCCCCCCCCAGTGGCTAAAATCAGGGCCGCCGTCGGAGCATGCGGCGGCGGCGGGCGAGGGGGGGAGAAGCGAGAGGGAGGAGGCCCTCTCGGGAGGCGGCGGGGCTCCTCGGAGGCCCGCTCGCCCTCTGGGAGGCTTCCTCTGTGCCCTCGGGGAGGAGGCTTTGGCAGCTTCTCGGAAGGCCGGGGGGGCTTCCGAGCCTTCTGAGCAGGCCCGCGAAGGCGGGCCCCTCCTCATTTCTCTCCACCCCCGAAATGTTCGATCCCCCTCCTCGCTCCTCGATCCTCGATCCTCCCCCTCGATCCTCGACCCTCCTCCTCCCTCCTCCCCCTCGATCCTCGACCCTCCTCCTCCCTCCTCCCCCTCCCCGGCCCTCGACCCTGGACCTCCTCCAAACCCTCCTCGCCCCGACCAGGCCCTCGAAGCCCCATCGCGTTGGACGAGCGAGGGCTCGCCGCCGAGCGACGCGACTCAGGAGAGGAAAAAACACACAGACACAATGAAGCCTCGATTCCCCAGAACATGTGGGAATATATATGGGAAGTGGGGGGGGGGGGGGGGAAGACAGACACCCAGAACATGTGGGAAAATAGGGGGGATATTTTGAGATTTGTGTGTCTTTGTTTGTGTGTCCAGGGGCCCCTTCAGCGACGACCTCGTCGGCAGCGTCGGCCCCCCCCCCGCGGGGGGGCGGCGGGGCGATGCGCGGGCGCGCCGCGCCCGCGTGCTGGCGGCGCGGCGCGGGGCCCCTGCGCGGCCGGGCCCTGCCCGCCGGGGCCGCCGCCCGGCGGCACGCGGCGGCCGACGCGGCGGCCGGCGCGGCCGCGGCGTGGCCGCCGCGGCCGTCCGAGCTGGACGAGCGGAGGAGGAAAAGGTAATTCGACAATTCGAAGAGCAGTGCGAAGTTGAGGCTTTCCCCCTCCGCAGAGATATATTTTGTCCCGCCGACGTGGCAGGATGCTTGGCCAGACTCTGGCGTGGCGGACACTGCGCGGGAAGTGCGATTTGCCGCTCGCGCCGCGGCACGTAATGGAGGATGACGATTAATAAATGACTGGGGGTCGTGTTCACGCGGCGGCGCCCGGGATGACGATTAGAAAAAACCGGCCGCGGGCTGGAAAGCTATGTTTTAAATCGTTTTCCTCCAGTCAGAAAACTGTGCAGAAATGGCAGAAAACTATGTGCTTAATCGTTCTCTCCCATTTTTTATGAATCGTCATCCCGCATTACCCGTAGAGGCCTGGGAAAAAGTAGCGAACAGTCCTGCCACATTCATCTGTCAACGCTTCCCCCTTTCCCCCCCAGTGTTCAAAGTGGGCGGTGGGTCGGAGGAGTGGCACCTCGACCGCAGTCTCCCCCGCGCGTGCCAACTGTGAGCTTGGGGGGCCGGGGGGGGGTGTTTACTATTCGTTTCCCCCTACCGTGCCGCTACTCCCCAGACCCCCTCGCGCAGTGACACAAAAAATCACGGCGGGAGGCTTTTCGCCACCTTCGGCCTCCGGGGGCCCTCGCCGGGCCTCGGGACCGTCAAAGGACGACCCAGGATGAAAAGCCGGCCCCCTGGAAGGGGTCCAGACCTCTGGGGGTCGACGTCGTGAACAAATCTCGACGTGGGCGCCGCCCCTCCGAGCTGGACGAGCGGGGGAGAGGAAAGGGTATACTCATACCCAGGCATCGGGCGCCTCGACAAGCATCGAGACGGAGGTGTTTCACAGTTTGTGGCCTCTCGGGGCCGTCACCAGGCCTCGGGACCGTCAAGGAGCGACTCGCGATGAAACACCGGTCTCGGGGAAGTGGTCCGGATGCCGGGGGCCCGCCTCGAAAAAGATCGAGACGTCGGATGTTTGGGTCTCGAAGAACAAGAGACGGCATAAACATAGACTTTTGGCGCTCCGCGCGGATGTCTTGGATCTGCGCTGGGGCCTCCCTGGCGGCGCCTCCGGCGCCGCCCCTGGCGCGCTCCGCGCGCCAGGGAGGGGGGCCCAGCGTAGATCCAAGAAGTCCGCGCGGAGCGCCAAGAGTTTCTGTTTATGCCATTCCTCTTCTTGAGGAACATGCAGCCCCATGCCACTACCCTTCCCTCGTTTTCCCCCTCTTGGGCCTCCTGGGAGGGCCTCGTCGCCACCGCTGGATTCGCCTCGAGAACCTGGTCATGACGCATCCTTGGCGAGCTCTGGGGAGCAGCGGTATTGGTACCCTTTGGGTTTCCCAAGGACGAGCGGAGGAGATCTCTGCTCAGGCGCCTGGCCCTCCGAGTTTTCGCTGCCGCCGTCGCCGCCGCTGCCGTCGTCGTCGTCGTCGTCGTCGTCTTCGTCGTCGTCGCCGTCGTCGTCGTCGTCGTCGTCGTCGTCGTCGTCGTCGTCGTCCGTCGTCGGTCAGCGGTCGTCCTTCGTCTCGTCCCTGTTGTCCTCGCCGCCCGCCCTCCTCGTCCTCAGTTTCTGCTCAGGCGCCTGGCCCTACCAGACCCCCCCTCGCGTCGTGGGAGAACAACCGGGGGGGCATCATTCACCGGGCTTCGGGGCGCACCGGGGCCAAGGAGTCCAGACCTCGGGGGTCACTGCTTGCAGCCAATCACAACATCGGGAGTGTGAGCTTCTCCTGTGGGACATTTTTTTGACCCCCCGGCGATTACGGGCGTCGGGCGTTATCAGGGGGGGTGGCCGTAACAACGTCACGATTCGCGCCGGTGCCGTCTGAGAATGCCTAGAGATGCGTAGGAACGACTAATGCCCAGACGGCGCTGGAGCTAATCGTGATGTTACTACGGGGGAGGGGAAGGGGTGGGGGCGGGGCCAGTAACGGGCGTTATCGCGGACAGGTAAATGTGTTTTCCGCAGGGGCAAGAGATACCGATACAGGTGCTCGTCCTGAGGAGCCCTCGCCGCCACGCCTGGATTCTCACCGAGGTTCTGGTCAGAATGCGCCCTGGGAGAGGCCTTGGGAGTAGCGGTATGGGCACCGTCTTGTCCCCCCGAGTTTTCACCGCCGCCGCCGCCGCCGTCGTCGACGTCGTCGTCGTCGTCGTCGTCGGCGGCGTCGTCGTCGTCGTCATCGTCTTCGTCGTCGTCAGCGGTCGTCCTTCGTCTTGTCCATGCGTGAGGTTGTGGCCGAGCCCAGTGCCAGCTGCAGGCTGTGGGCAACCTCCCGTGCCGCCTTCTCCGGCATGGGCCGGGGGCGCGCGCGTGGTGGGAGCAAGAATGGGACAAGCGCAACCCAGAGTGCGGCGCCCGCCTGGGCTCCCGTGCCACGCCGCCCCCCTCGTGTCCCCCCGCCCCGCAGGTGGTGGCAGGGAGGGCCGGGGCCAGGAAAAAAGTATACGGTTCGAGAGAGCCGCGCCGTTCAGCTGCGCAGAAGAATACGAGGGAGTAGAATACGAAGGAGAAGGAGAGCGACAGGGGCGCGCTGACAGAAACTGCTTAAGAGACCTTGCTTGCAGCCTGTCCGGCATTCCAGGCCCCACCTTCTCCAAGGCGAGCGGCGCCGTCACGACGAGTCGCACTAACACCGAGGGCGCGTAATGAGGGCTCCAGGCCACGTACCACCTTTGCAAAGCCTCGGGACAGCACATCGTGCAGAGTCATAGTGGACAGAAGTCTCCACAGCGGACAGCAGTCGACACTGTAAAGACAGCAGGGCCAAACCCCGGTTAAAAGACGGAGGTGGGGATTTGGCCTCAACGATGCTCGTAAGGTAAGCTAAGTGATCAAAGTGCAACGCGCGATAATAACAAGAAGCTGAAATGATATAAGTGTGATCTAAACTGTACGGCTGGAGGCGCCCCTCTGGCCAGCAAGAAAAATACGAAGAGCTTGTATCAACGTAGTGCCAGCCAGACATTCCGGAAGATGGTCTCAGGTGTATGAGAATATATGCAACACGCTCAGAGAGCCAGGTGGCACGGTGGACAGGTGAGAATATTTAGGCCAAATTGCCAGGGCGCGAGGGGCCCCCTGTACCGCGAGCCCCCCGAGCCGATGTGGCCAGCGGACAGCCCAACTGGCCGGTGAGATCGTTTGGCTGCTGTCAGTCGTACCTGTTCTTGCAACACGTGCTGATAGCGTTCCTCCAGGGACCACGTAGGGGTAGATCTCGTCCCTTGGCCTCGTCCATGCCGTCCTCGCCGCCCGCCCTCCTCGTCCTCGGCCGTTCTCGGCCTTGCTCTCGTCCGCCCCGTCCTTCACTCGGAGGCGAACCACTGGCACAGACACGCTCTGTCTCGGAGGCCCCGCGCGGGCACTTCCTGGGCCGACGCACCCCACTGGCGGCCCCTCGGGCGCCGCGCCCTCTGCGCGCTTCGCGCGCCAGAGAGGTCGGTCCAGCGCCGACCCAAGGAAATTGCCAGACCTCCGAGAGTTCAGTAGTATGCAGTTGTTGCTCCTCTGCTCTCGTTTTCCGCGTCGTCGTGTTCGTCCTTCTCGTCGTCCTTGCTGTCCTCGTCGTCTTTCGCCCCCGTACGATTCATTGTATTTCTTGGTCTCGTCCTCGTGCGCGTCCTCGTATAAAGAAAGCTCGTCCTCGTCCATGTCACCATCTTCCGTCACTTCTCTGATTTGCCCTTTGTCGTCCTTGTCCTCCTCCTTTCCCTCTTTCTCAAATTCCGTTCTTCATTCCTCAGTACTGAATGCCCCCACTTCCCTCGCCGGCGCCCGGGTATCTCCACGAAGCGGGGCGCCCATCCCACAATTCGAAGAGCAGTGCGAAGTTGAGGCTTTTCCCCCTCCGCAGAGATATTTTGTCCCGTCTACGTGGCAGGATGCTGGGCCAGACTCTGGCGTGGCGGGCACTGCGCGCGAAGTGCGATTTGCCGCTCGCGCCGCAGCACGTAATGGAAGATGACACGCGGCGGCGCCCGGGATGACGATTAGAAAAAACCAGCCGCGGGCTGGAAAACTATTTTTTAATCGTTCTCCTCCAGTCAGAAAATTGTGCGGAAATAGCAGAAGACCATTTTTTAAAAATCGTTCTCTAAACTTGTTTAATTAATCGTCATCCCGCAGTACCTTTGCCGTCCCCGGGGCGGAAGCGCGGCCGGGCGCGAGAGGGCGCCCTGCCGCCTCTGCCCCTGCGCCGCACACAGGCCCGTCCCGAAGGAGGTGCGCTCCCGCGCGTGGCCTGGCGGGTGCTCCTCGCCCGCCGGTCCCTCCTCTCGGGGGGTCAGCTGGGCCGCGCGCCGCCAGAGAGCGCGGGGCGCCGCTGCGAGGAGGGGGAGGAGGAGGAGGAGGAGGAGGAGGAGGAGGAGGGGCAGGAGGAGGAGGAGGAGGGGGAGGAGGAGGAGGAGGAGGAGGAGGAGGAGGGAGGGAGGGATGGTAGGGAGGGAGGAGGGAGGGAGGGAGGGAGGGAGGGAAGGGGAGGGAGGGAGGGAGGTGGGAGGAGGAGGAGGAGGAGGAGGAGGAGGAGGAGGAGGAGGAGGGAGGAGGAGGAGGAGGAGGAGGAGGAGGAGGATCATGGGCAGGACCCTGCATGTGACGGCCGCCTGCGCGCGCGTCGGGCGGCTCCCGGCGCCAGCGGGTCTTCTGCTTCGGGCACCGCAGGGGGGATGGGGGGGGTGGGACAGAATGCACGCGCTGGGCGCGTCGGCGCGGCGTAGGTGTTTCCCTCCGCCCTGTCGTCGGAAGCGGCTCGCGAGCCAGTTAGCGGAGTGGTGCTCTCGCCTCGGAGACCAAGCTGTCCCTTGCGCGCGGCGCAGCGGTTCCTTCGCCAAGCCGTTCGAGTTGGGGCAGACGCCGGTCCCAATGTCAGGAAGTGCCGATGTCAGTCATCATGTAAAGGGAGGGGTCGGGCTTTGACTTCGCGCGAGCTGTCCAGGTTGACGCATACTCCCGCTTCTGCCCCTGCTCCTCCTATTTGGTCCTCCTCCTCCTACTCCTCGTTTTTCTTGTCACACAGGTCTGTCGATCGCTGAGGCCGCTCATCCCTTTGTAATGGTTGGTAGTCTTCCTGCGCCTGCTCATGGGGTTCAGCCGTTAAGAGATCAAGAAATCATAAGCTTAGTTGATTTGGACATCTTCGCCTAGGGCAGCATTCTACTAACATGAGGTTCACCCCCCAGGATCTCTCTTCGATTTCGCCTGCGCTTTCGGGCTGAAGCCCACTATTCCTTTCAGCAGGTCTTAGTTGTTCGATTTGTCCTTGGCTGACTCTGGCACCCGGAGGCCTGGACTCCACTGGCCGGCGAATGGCTTCCCCCTCAGCCCTCCACCTCCTCGCCCATCCCTTGGAGGAGGAGGAGGAGGAAGATGAGGAGGAGGAGGAGGAGGAGGAGGAGGAGGAGGAGGAGGGGCAGGAGGAGGAGGAGGAGGAGGAGGAGGAGGAGGAGGAGGAGGAGGAGGAGGAGCCCCAGGCGCTCAAGAACGACCGGCTGGATGGAGCTGGACCACATCCTCGGGAACTTCGTCGAGCGGCACGTGGCCGCCCTCACCGAGCCGCAGGCGGAGCTCCTGGAGCACGTCCTCGGCCACGGCAACGACGCCCTGCTGCGCTGGCTCGACGGCCGGGCCGCCGTCCCAGAGGACCTGCGGCGCAACGAGGCCTGGGCGTCGCGTGGGTGGGGGGGGGCGGCCCGTGCCCAGGCCCCCTCGGGGCACGGAAAAGGTCACGACGGGAGGTTTTTGTTCGCCATGTTCGGACTGCGGGGCCCCTACCGGGGCCTCGGGCCCGGCAGAAAGCAGCTCAGGATGAAGAAGGGGAGGGGGTCCAGACAGCTGGGGGTCGACGTCACGAAGAACTCATGACGTCGGGGGGGTCTGGGTGTGGGGGGGGTTGGGGGGGGGGGGCAGCGAGGGCTGTGCAGCACAGGGGCCCCCAGAGAGGCACTTTCGGGCCCCAGAGGGGGGTCCGCAGGGCCCGAAGGGTGCACACCTTTCTTCTTCCCCCCCTCCCCCCAATGTATCGCCCCCCCCCATCAAGCTCGGCCAAGCGCAGGGGGGGGTAGGGGGAGGGGGGGGAGGCTTCTTAGAAGCACCCCTGCTCCTCAGAAGGCGCGGGCCTGCTCTGCAGATGTCAGGCCGGCGCCTTCTAAGAAGCAGGGGTGTTTCTAAGAAGCCTTCCCCCCTCCCCCTGCCCCCCTTCTGCGCGCCGCCAGCAAGCGTCGCCCCTAAGAGGTCATGGTGATGCTGCTGCGCTACGTGAATCGCGACCACCCCGCGCTGGAGCCCGCCTGAGGGCACGGGCGCCGGCACACGCGCGGGGGAGGCGAGCCGGACGGACCTCGGCGCCCGCTGCCCTCTCGTGGGCCCCTTCTGCGGCCGCGGAGAGGGTGTCGCAGCTCGAGATGGAAGCCAGACGGGGGCGGGCTGCCCCGGGAGGGGCCCGACGAGTGATGGTGATGGTGGTGGTGGTGGTGGTGGTGGTTATGGTTCTGGTTATGGTCATGGTTATGGTTATGGTTATGGTGGAAGTGGTGATGAATGGTGGTGGTGACGGTGTTGGTGATGATGGTGGTGGTGCTGACGACGACGACGGAGTGATGATGGTGATGCTGATGATGATGAGGCTGAGTGTTGGCGATGGCGATGATGACGATGAGCGGTGACGATGATCATGATGATGATGCTGCTGATGATGATGATGATGATGATGATGATGCTGCTGCTGCTGATGATGATGATGTTGTTGATGCTGCTGGTGCTGATGATGATGATGACGATAATCATGACGATATTGGTGATGATGGTGGCCGTGATGATGTTGATGATGATGGCGACGATGGCGATGATGATGATTATGATGCTGAGTATGACGATTATGATGATGATAATGATGATTATAGTGACCATGATGGAGATGATGCTGATGATGTTGTTGATGATGGTGGTGGTGATGATGGTCCAACGATGATGGTGATGATGCTGATGATGATCTGGTGGTGATGATGATGGTGATTGTGGTGATGATGATCATGCCATAAGCCGCAGCCGGCCGGCCGACCGCGCCGACGCGCCACTCCCCCGCGGAGGTCGTTGCGGAGACGCACGCGGCCCGCCGGCGCGACTGGTCCGAGTGGCGCGCCAGAGAGGCGGCCCGCCGTCGTGGTCGTCGTCGTGGTCGCCATCGTCGTCAGCGTGGTCGATGTCACCCCAGAGCTCATCCTAATTATGGTGTTGGGGCCGCGTTTTGGAGAGACAGAGCCCCGCGTTCCTCTCTTTCTCTCCTCCTCCCCCTCCTCCCTTCATCATCATCATCATCATCATCATCATTATCATCATCATCATCATCATCATCATCATCATCATCATCATCACCATCATCACCATCATCAGCATCAGCATCAGCATCAGCATCATAATCATTATCAACAGCAACAGCAGCATCAGTATCATCGTCATCATCACCGTCATCACAGCACCGTCATCATCATCGTCATTAGCATCATTCTCATCATTATCATCATCATCATCATTATCAGCATCATACTCACCCTCATCAACATCACCATCATCACCACCGTCATCAGCATCATCATCACCACCACCATGATCATCATCATCATCGCCGTCATCTCGTCATCAGTATTGCCATCAGCATCATTGCAGTTTTCATCATTCCCATACTCATCATCATCAGCTGCATCAGCAACAGTATCAGCATCAACGGCACCACCATAACCATCATTACCATCAGCAGTATCACCTTCATCTTCATCATCATGATCAACGTCATCATCAATTTTGCCATCATCGTTATCATGATCATACCCGTCACCTCTCCATCACAACCATCATCACCATCACCATCATGGTCATCCTCATCATCACCATCATCATCACCATCACCATCATCATCATTATCATCAGCACTGCCATCAGTATCAGTATCAGCATCTTCATCAGCATCATCATCATCATCATCATCATCATCATGATCATCATCATCACCACCACCGTCTTCAGCCTCTGCACACCCCTCACACTGTTCGTGGCCCCAAAGGGAGGTCCACGAAGGCCCAAGTGGCAGGGTTCGCATGGCGGCCCCAACCCATTTCGGCACACCCCTGGGGAGGTCCAACGTGATCAAAAGGTGAAGCCTGGGTTTGGGGGGATTGCCGGCCGCGACCCCTTGAAAGCCTCCCTGGGGCGCGGGAGAACCACCTTGAGCCCCCCCCCCCCCTTGGGCCCCTTGGGAATGAGAGGGAGGGGCTATGGAGAGACGGGGCGTGGGGGAGGGATGATGAGATGCTGAAGTTTGTCTAACCCGCGGGGAGGAGGAGAAGGGGAGAGAGATGACGGCAGGCGAACGGGAGAGGAGCGGAGAGCGGCGGCCGCGGCCGCCCGAGCGAGCGACGCGCGCGCGCGCTTTCGAGCGCCAGCGCGACGGGTCGCGCGAGCCCCGCGGGGCGGGGCCGCGGGGCCGCCGCGGGGCATCGCCTCGCGGGGCGGGGCCGTGGGGCGACAGCGGGAGAGGGAGGAACCCGAGAAAGGTGTGACAATCGTTCGGTCCGTGCCCTCCCGGCCCCCCCCCCCCCGCGAGAGTGGGTTCCGTTCCCGTGCCCCCCCCCGACGAGGGTAAGGATACGGGATACGGTAACGATTGGATGCTCAAGATTCTGGGGCATCCCACGGGGGGGGAGGGGAGGGTGGATGGAGGAGGGAACCGAACAACTCGGTGGCGGCGGCAGCAGCGCAGAGAGACGGGTCGTGCCCCACCGCCCCCATTGGGATAGGATCGGGGCCCTCGGGGGCTTGGCTAACTAACACATCGGGCATCTCCCAAGAGGAACGGATGTGAGGGACGGGCGAGACGGACGATCCGGCAACGGCAACGGACAACAGCGCCCCTTCCTTCCATCCACGTTCCTTCTTCCCGTCTCGCCACCTCACCACGGGCTCCGAGCTACCTCCTCCCCTCATCCCCCCCCCCGCTGGACCATCGGAGGAATCTGCAATCTTTTTCGCGGCATCGCGCGAAAAATGGGACCCTGGGACCCTGGTCGGATCAACGTTACGTTCGCAGGTCGGGGGGGAAGGGGTCGGAGGGCGTGATGGGGAGGAGGGGGGAGCAGGCGGGGTAGCGAGCTGAGCAGGAGGGAGAAAGGACGGGGGCGCAGGAAGAGGATGAGCAGGAGGAGAAAGACGAGCACGAATGATGAAGAGGAAGGCGATGAGGTGAGGAGAGAACGAGGCCTTGGCAGGTGCGCGCAGCGTCGGCGCGCACACTGGTTATTGACACCTCGTTGATCGGTCAACCTTGAACCGATCGCGGCCACGGTCCGGCCACGGTCGTTCAATGGTGGGTCCCATGGCAGTCCATCGGTGCGCCCGCGTCGCAGAATTCAACCTTGAATGTTGAACGCCTTCGCTGGCGCCGCGCGCCACCGCCGCATGAATCCCGCATGAACCTACCCTACGCCGAACTGGGAATTCGTCAAGGGCGACTGGGCAGATGATATGATGATGTGGCGAATGGGCGACTGGGCGAATGGAGGGCGGCGCTGCTGGTGCGTCATGGCGCTGTGCCTCACACGCGTCTGTCGCGTGGGAGGTACTACTTGCAATTCCACTTATATAAACGGGGCCTGGCTGCGGCACGGCTCAAGCAGCAAAAGTGGCCAAGAGTCTGGGATGAGCGCGTGAGCGCTCGCAGAAGAGGGGTCGGCTAGCGCCAGTCCCTGGGGAGGCTCGATGGCCTCAAGAGCACCCTGTACAGGCCCAGATGGCCCGAAGGGCGCCGAATTGGGAGAAGAGCAGGGGGCTCCGCGTCTGTTAGGGGGTATTTATTTTTGCCCTGGAGCTTTCTGGTGAAAGCGAGGTGATGGGAGGAAGGGACCGCGAAGGATGATGAGGGGGAGCGGGAGGAGAAGGTTACCAGCGTTGGTGTCGTTGCTGATGTGAGTTACTACATAGTTTGAAGGACAGGACGCGCGAGCGAACGTGAAACTATGCCACCAAACTTCGCGCACCATGCCCCACGATGCGCGACGCTCGCGCCCTCTCGCCATCCCCTTCGAGTCCTTGGAGTAGGGCAACCACTGACCCCCATACCACGCCGCGCGAAACGCGGTGATTACCTTCGCGCCCCCGTTGATGGCCTAGAGAACGCGTGAAGCATGTGTGTTATCGTCCAGACGTGAGGGGCCAACTGCATCGCATGATTGGTTGATGTTGTCCCGCCCCATTCCCATCCTTGCCCTATCCCATCCCACCATCCCATATCTACAGACCACTCGCTGGATCACATGAAGATGTGAGCGAGCTCGGCCTTGTCCTTCTTATCCACCGGCTCGTCGTCTACATTGGGCTCATCAGCTCCCGCAGCCCGAGGGTCCGACTTCATCGCACTCTCGAGGGCATTCACGATGGCAACCCGTGGGGCAGGCGCAGGGTCCTGAGCCGCGGCCTCGTCCTCCCCAGGCCGCAACATCACGGCGTCGTAGCACGACTTGCCGCGTGAGAGCATGAACAGGCTGCCAGACTCGGGGGCGCCAACATTGTCCGTGTCCGGGTGAAAGTAGCAGAGGCGCAAATTCACGCTGATCGGCGGCGGGGTCGACGAGGCAGGGGCCGCTGGTGCTGTCGCGGCCGGGACCTCCTCGGACTGGGCCTCAGCCTGCGGCGAGGCCGGTGGTGGGGTGCCTGGGGCCTGCAGCGCGTCCCACGCCGTGGCCGACGTGGCCCACTGATGTCCAGGGGCGGCCGATGGGTTGTGGTACACGACGACAGTCTCACTCTCCAGCTGCATGGTGGCCTTCTCATCTTTCTCCACGGGCAACGCATATGCCACGACGACGGAATCAGAAGCCAGCCGCTCGAACCCTTGACCTTAGGGGAAGAGCTGAGTAGATGAGTAGATGGGCGAAGAAACATATCAGGTGGCTAGAGTAAGATGACGAGGAGGAGGAGGAGGAGGAGAACGAGGAGTAGGAGGAGGAGGAGGAGGAGGAGGAGGAGGAGGAGAAGAAGAGGGGGCACGGCGAGGGAGGGGGAAAGGATGGGGACGGAGGTCGGAGGAGGGGCGATCTCCATGAAGAAACGCATCACCTCTGGGAGCGGAGAAGCGACGATTCGCTGCTCCGCTTCCAGCGGGCTCTCCATGGACATCGCGAGTGCTCCGCCCGCAGGCAAGCAGGCTATTCGAGCGTTCGGAAGACATCCCGAAACAACGCCAACACCCCAAAGCACATGCAGGTGGCATACCCATGCCCACCTGATACGTAGAAGTCCACCCCATAGATCCGAGTGAGCCACGTGCACAATTTCGGAGTCCGCACAGTCGTGACGTGGCCCGCCAAGTACAGCTTGAGCGAACGATCTGGAGCACCCACGGTGGCCACGGACAGCTTCTTCGCG